GGAGGGCGTGGCGGCGGGGGAGGGAAATTGATTTCCATGGAAAAATTTTACAATCAAACACATCATAAAAGAAAAATCCTTCAAATAAATGAGCTGCAGAAAAAAATTAAGACAAAAACACCTACACAAATTATGTGACAATCTGTAACTTCTATCAAAACGAATAAATAATAAATTTTGAGTTAACTAATCGCATTATCCAAAGCTTCAACCTCCTGCCCCAGACCGCATCCCAGAAAAACGTAGGAAGAAACTTTAAATCCGTCACGTTGGCTCGATAAGTTAAAAAAAATAAAATAAAATAAATAGAAGGCTTACAAGACTTCTGAATAAGAACAAATCCGAGGTCGAGAAAATGGAAAATAAAATAGAAGATTTCTGGATCCTACTGGGGTAGTGTGGGCCTTTTCTCAACCATTTCATATATCAAAACGAAGTTATCCTGCATACAAGTGTAGCAATAAGTAGTTTACACAACAATTACGATTTCAAAAAAAGCACTTTAACAAGTTTCTGCAAAAATATTGCAGGGCATATATTGCAAACCTTTCTTGTCATCTGCCATGTGTTGGGATCGAAAAAGTAATAGCAACCTCTCTCGTAAGTGTTTGTCTCCACAAGAGGCTCCATATCTTTCACTCTAGTGAACCATAACCGGAGATCTTTGTGGTAGAACCATCCTCTAGTATACCTGCAATAGTACCAAAAATATACTAGGCCTCATTTTCTAAAACTCATTTTTTCGTCAAATTCATTTTTAACCACACATTTTATATGATCCACAACTTTTATCAATTTTCATCAAAATCCACTAAAAAGCTTAATTTAGCTAAATCAAACATGGGCTTAATGATGCTAAGCTTTTCGCATGTATAAACATATATAAGAAGTCAAAAGACCACTCAATAAGAAAATAAAAACAATATGGAGCACCGCTTCCATTAATCTCCCCTCCCATACTAATGCAAAATGACTAATTCAGTCTCAAAGCCACCACCTTCTGACAAATCAGTTTATCCATCCATCCAAGTCTATGCAAGTTGGGATTGATCATTTCTTGTTAGGTTTAACATTCTCACTTCCAACTACATTTCTCTTGTTAATCCACGAATCTTAGCATCAAAATTATGTACCCATAGAAGAGCACGTCGTCAGATGTCTTACGAGTCTTTCTTCACAGGTATATACCTAGTACCCATTATACATGGTAGTGCAGCACTGCAAATAACATTCGTTCACTTAAATAAACTCTCCTGAGATGTACCTGAGATGCATTTCAGCTAGCTCCCCAAAAAATACATGACCATACACCAAAAACATAAAATAAAAGGTATGAAGGCACATTTTGAACCATAATTTCAGACAGTTACAAATCTACTCTATGGCAGTATAATTTTTAGCACATGATCATCATGTATATTCGAAATAATTTTTAGCACATGATCATCATGTATATTCGAAAATAACATTTACGTTTAAACAAATGAGGTATGAATTGAAGGCACACATCGAACAACTAGCAATAATAATTAGAGCTTGTTTATTCCATATGATGGACCCAGTTATTGAAATTCTATGTATAAATTTACTTGGACAATATCTACATCATGACGTAACATGGCTTAAAAACAATCATCTGCCAAACAAGAGTGGAGTGATGTTGTATGCATAGGGCGCTCATGGAGGCACACGCTAGTGTACGTCACCCACAATATTAAACGAATGAATAAAACTGATCTGAGCCTCTGCCTTGAACAAAAGGGAAGTCAACACCATCCATGATTCACTCACACCAATTTTCCGTTCTCTATGAATGACAATGGATTGCATAACAATTGTTTGCTTTTTCATTGCATTATTTAATACATTCAAAAAAGTTTTTAACTACGTATCTACAGTTTCACCTCCTTGTATTGAACTATTTCATCGCTTGCTTGCTCCAAAACTCTAATTTAGAAATGGTTCCTGCTTAAGTCACATCAGCTTACTACAGATTTCACCCATATTTTTGAATCTTAATACTTCCTCGGGCATTGAGTAATTACCTATTAGTTTTGAAAACATCAAGATTTCCAAACAACAATTATGATGAGAGGGCTTAGGATGGTGCTAGCAATAATAATGACAAGAAATCAAGAAACCTCAGGAATGCTTAGCGGTCGTTCAGGAGATAATGGGACGCTAGAATGAAACACTTAGTGATGAATCTATTGGCTTTTGGGATTTGTTAATTTACAATTTTTTAGTAGTTGGTTCTGTTTTGAATTTGAAACATGAAGGCGATGAGATGATTAGCAAAAATTAGAAGTTAACTTTTAAATGTCTGAGTAACTAATACCAAAACAATGGAATTCATACATAAGTTTTCTACAGGAAATTGACCTCATATATTTGTGCTTCAACACCTTTCATTATTCTTGCAATTATTCTAAAAATAAAAGGGCTAAATAATAATAATTACTATAATTGAAAATAACACACGACGGTACTTCTGAAATTTCGTCTGCAACTATGCATGGAAACCTCCATCAAAATTTAGGATAACAATACCTGGTAATTGCAAACACGTGATATTTAATATTCCAAGGCTTCCTTCAGCGAGTTCAGTATTCATGAACTATATTGGGCATTTTGTTAACTTCACACTAAACTTAATATTACAGCACAAACCTTTTAAGAGGAATTTTTCTCAATAGCATTTTACTACTACCATTAATAAGCAGCATTTATTATTAAGAATGTATCCAGAAGCAGATAATGTACTTAATCAACTTAATGTTGTTGCCTTGAACATGCCAAATGACCTAGGAATCGAGGCAAGAACTGAAACCGTAAAGAAAGAACAACAGACTTACAGTTCATTTGCTGCAAAGAGTTGTGCCCTATCTTTTGGCATGCTGCAATAAGGAAATAAGAGTCAAATAACTTATATCATAAAATGAAGATGTGTTGTGACAACAAAATTTACCTGTAAAAGATATAAAATAATGTTTCTTGGCTGAATCTTGCAAAGTAGCTTTGCTGCATCCATAGAATATATATTGATTAATGGATATCCTTACATAACCTAACCAATAACAAGATCAGCAAAGCTTACATTTACTGGAGGAGGTGGTTTGGCATAATAACATTCAGGGACACTGTACTCAGGCTCTCCTCTGGCAGGTTCGTCAGACCAAGGAGAGGCAAATTTTTTGTGAATAGTCTCTGATGAGTTCAAATTTAAACCGAGTGAGGTCAGATCAATACCCAGAGCAAGTGAACTCAAGCCTGGATTGGTCATTTTTATGACACTTAACAAACCAAGCATCCCAAATCGATCAGGCACACTTTGCAATGCCTGCATGGATTTCAGATCTTTGTCTCTAAATGGACTGATGAAGCGAGACTGAGATTGTTGGAATTGTTGATACTGCTGCATAAGGATCAAAATATCGCATAGGAGATTTAGACATTCATATGTCCAAACCAGAGGATGATACCCCACTGCTTTGGGCACTGAAGTAAAATAATACTTATATCTATGAAATCTTTGGAATCGTTAATCTTCATAATCATTAGAAGTCAGACATTGGAATCCAAAAAGAGGAAAGGTTGTAAAAGTTGGTTTAACAAATTACAATGTCGGATAGAAAATAACACGCTGGCTGCAGTACTAGCCTATGAGACCTATTGAATAGTGAAAGCAAGCATCCTAGCAACAAGTGACCGTACCTCAGGCCCATGAAAATGAAAATCTTGATTGCCTGCAGTTAGTAAGGAAGCCCCACTGCCATTTATTGACGAAGCATGATGTTGTTGCTGAGGATGATGAGATGAATACGTACCACTAAAGTTGAATCCAGAAGACCTTCCCATCTAGGATATTAAAGCATGTAATAATATGAGATAGCACTAAGCACACAGACGGACTTTCATGAATATTCTAGTGAGGATCTTCAAATATTCTTACAGTTAATTGCTGAGGTTGCATTAAAGATGCCATACTATCATGGAGCTGTTCCTTTTGGCGCGCATTTACAGGAAATTCAGTACTGGCATGAAGCTGTTCCTTTTGGCGTGCATTTACAGGAAATTCAGCATTGCCTGTTCCATTAAGACGGTAATTATAATTCTAGGACATGCAGTAAACTAAAAAAATAATATGAGTATATAGTAGAATGAGTATGGGCGTCAAGGACGAAATGTAAGGGGAAAAAAGTAAAATAGCATCAATGTGTATCACTTTAGTTATGGTAAGACAACACAGCAGCAATAAGGCAGGTCGTGATGCTAAGTAATCCACCAGTCATTGATAGGAATCAAATTATTCTGGAAAATCAGATTTTCACACCATCCATTTGCTGCTTGCTGAAGTTGGCTTTCCACAGCTCTATTTTATTTATACATTAGTAAATACCCAAATTAACATCAGATTTTGAAAATAAAACCATTCTTCAATTATTCGAAATCACACCATCTTATATTAGATTTGCATGACCTACGCATTACTTGGTATCACTCATCAAAGGACAAAATTGGGGAAGTAAACAAAACCTTCATGTCATCAAATCCTACTTAAATACTTAAGCCAAGTAAAACTGTAACATTTAATTAGGGGTATATCTGCTTGAATCTCATGCCAATGGTGCAGCACTGCCACCTCCCCCTCCCAAAGTAAATATATATGAAAGGTATAAATTAAACAAAATTGAACTCTTACTCATAGAAGTTAGGTGCAGAAGCGGACTTTGAATTCTTGAAACAAGAATAAAGTTGAACCAACTTGAAAATTTGTAGAAAATAATTTTATTGTAATGAATTGGTTATTGAAAAACTGATGAAACATTTATTTATATAGACAAAATAATCTCTTAATCCAAATAGCTTAAAACTTATTCTCAAGTTTGATTGAAGAAGAGAAAATTAATAATCAGAGGAAAAAATTTCAAAATTTTTGCATCATGTTGTAAGGGTTAGATTCGAACATAGCTTGTACTCAAGAATAATTTCTAGCTAACTATTGTTGTGTATCGGACTCGTTGAAATGACCGTGTTGCACTAACACTTCAACTAGGTTGGCGCGTCCTATCCAACACACGTCACATCGTAATATATTATTTTAACTCAAAGTTATTCTAAATAAATACTATTATTTATAAAATTTCAACCAAAAAATTAATAATAAGTATACCAATAAAATTCTATTATATAAATGAAAAATATTAATCAACGTGTCGTATCCATACTTTTAGAAAAATCATGTATCGATTTGTCCAACATATGTAGTATTAGATGATCAATGTTCATAACAATCAAAATATACATATTTTTCTGAGCAACATCTTCAAACATTCCTTCACTCCAAACTCTTGACTGAGGTGCAATCCTCTTATCGTCATTGCAAGGATACATGCCACTATCATCAATCGGCCAATAGCAAAACTTTGTTCTAATACCAATTTTGGCATGAAAGTGAAACTGAAATTCTTGAAACAAGAATAAAGTTGAATTTGCTTAAAAATTTGTAGAGAACAATTTTATTTTAACGATTTGGTCATTGAAAATTTACAAAGCTTTTGCTTAGATAAACAAAATAGCATCTTAATGCTAATAGCTCAAGGAAGTTAAGTTATTAAAACTTAAGAGAATAAGTAATAAAAAACCTAACCGAATAAAAAGTCATATTCTATACAAGAAATAAAATCCTATTAAAACAAGAAATAATTATTTGTCTTATTTGTAATGAAATTTTCCTACATCAATCTCCTCCACTTAGAACTTGTCCACAAGTTTGATTGAAGAAGATGAAAAATCTCCAAAATTTTTGCATCATATAGTGAGGATTCAAACCTATCTTAGACTCGAGGAAAATTTCTAGCCAACTACTGCCACATTTGTACTTGTTAAAATGACTCGTGTTGCACGAACACTTCAACTAGGATGATGTGCTCGTGTCCGACACGCGTCACTTCGTATTGGACCAACACTACCCAAACACTTTATCATAGTCATTTTCTTTAGCAATAGTAATACAAAAATTTAACTCAAAGTTGTTCTAATAACAAATAGATACTATTATTTAAAAGATTTAAACAAGAATAAGTAATGATAAGTATAAAACTAAAATTATACTATAAATGAAGAATTTTAAGGAATTAATTCAACGTGTCGTATTAGCACTTTTTAGAAAAATGGCGTGTCACACACAATTGTCCATGTGCATCATAGAAAGGACAAACATTCATGGCAATCAAAATCTACAAATTTTAATAAAACATCTTCGAACATATCCATCCCTTCGCTCTAGATTCTAGACCAAAAGTGCAATCCTCTTCTCATCGTCACCAGGATGCATGCCACTATCACCAATCAGCCAATGACAAAACCTTGCACTAATATCAATTTTCACGATGAAGTAGAACTAAAACTCTTGAAACAAGAATAAAGTTGAACCATGTTGAAAATTTGTAGAGAATAATTTCATTGTAATAAATTGGTCATTGAAAGATTACAAAAGCTTTGTATATATATAGGCAAAATAATATATTAATCATAATAGCTTAAGAAAGACAGGTAATGAAACCCTAAAAGAATTAGAAGTGTTAATCCAAACAAGAAATAAAATCCTAAAACAATAAATATTCCTTGTCCTATTTGTAATAGAATTGTCCTAAGTCAAAGTGTCCTTTAGGAGTATCCCAGGATGTTCAATGTGGAAGATATGTCTAACTTTGATTGTTTTATGCATAACTAGTAAAATAGTTTGAAAATAATAATTAGATATGAGTATATTCTAGTAGAGTGGACTTTTCAATTATTCAAAAATCACACTAACCTATATTAGATTTGCGTGACCCACGTTATGAAAGGACAAATTGGAAGTAAACAAAACCTACCTGTCATCAACACCTTCTTACAAACATGAGCCAAGTAAAACTGTGTTATTTAATTTGGGATATATCTAAAGATGCATAACCACCACCTCCTCCCCCAAAAAAATATGAAAGGTGTGATTCGTGTGAATTAACAAAACTTAAATCTTAGTCGTAGAAGTGTCTTCTGTATATTTCCCATTTTATCCTAGGATGTGCCAAAATGCTGCGGGCTTTTGATTATTTTATGTATAAAACTGGGAAATACTTTGAAAATAATAATTAGATAAAAGTATATTCCTGTAGAACGGATATTTATATTGTACGTCCTACAAGGAAATGTAGATCTTCAAACTGAGATGAAGGCAGCACTACTTGTAATTTCTTAACAACCCAATATCACAACTGCTATATCATTTGCTTAATTTTGGATCCACAATTATATGCCAGGTTCTTAGAAAAGTTTGTCTAGCAAAAGTGATCGAGTAAGCTCCCAGGGTCATACTAAATCCTTCTACAATCAAATAACAACATGAACATTGCTATGCTTTATTGAAATTAGGATAGATGTCAATCGTGAGAAAGGGAAAAAAAAAGGAAATGTAGATCTTCAAACTGAGATGAAGGCAGCACTACTTGTAATTTCTTAACAACCCAATATCACAACTGCTATATCATTTGCTTAATTTTGGATCCACAATTATATGCCAGGTTCTTAGAAAAGTTTGTCTAGCAAAAGTGATCGAGTAAGCTCCCAGGGTCATACTAAATCCTTCTACAATCAAATAACAACATGAACATTGCTATGCTTTATTGAAATTAGGATAGATGTCAATCGTGAGAAAGGGAAAAAAAAAAGAATTCAAACTACCTGGTTTTCCATATTAGAATTCAAAATTGGAAATGAATAAGTTTTGATCTCCCCAACTATACACATGAGAAAGAAGCAAAAAGATACATACATACATACATACATACATAAAGTCTACATAAACAATTACGGGAATTAAGAGCATATGGAGTAACAAAAGCTAGCACATGCAACCAAGCATGCACAAGAACTCAGGGTTTTGCAATCTTCTATGGGAAATTGATGTCGATAAGAAAATTTTTACTGTCAAGATGCCACTACATTGGGACTTGAAAATTTTCTATTTTTAATTTATTGCCATCACAGGCACCACAGTTAGACATGCTGCTAGCAACTCAAGTCTACCAATGTGAAAACCATATCTAGAAATTATGTTACCAGATAAATTTAAGCGAGAAGCAAGACCAGGGATGTTTGCCAAACCAGCAGAGCTTAAACCCCTTGTAGTATTACCCCCACCATTAAGACTGCCCACAGAGTTCGTAATTCGTCCATTATTTCCCATATTTTGCAACACACCTGGTCCTGAATCAAATGCTTGCAGCAGTTACACGTGAGAAAAACCCAGATGAGTAGAGCAATGGATCTTTATGCAAATTACATGTACACTATTGCAAAGACTTTTACCTCCAATGTTGTTAACACCACCATGTCCATTTGAACTTCCAAGAGATAACTGCATCATAAGGTCAACATATTTTATGCAAAAATTTCAATTTGTAAGAGTGAAGACTGAAGAGACTACACATGCAAGTGAGAAGAATTTGTCTCGGCACACTGGAAGGAATTGTCCTCACCCTACAACAAATTGTATTGTTATACCTGAGAAAGTGCAGTGGGAATACTATTCATTGCATATCGCCCATTAGATACATTCCCTGCAGCTTGTTGAATGCTATTGGGAAGACCGCCTATATTTGTAGAATTTCTTGATGCAAATGACCCGGACATGTTTGATATATTGAAGTTCCCATGAATATAGTGTGGCCCTTGGATGGTTCCTTTGGATCAGGAAAAAATTATTTTACTGATTAATCACCTTATATATCTTCAGTAAGTAGAAATGTTCATTACTCGAGCAAATTTTTATGCTGCATACCACCAGACTGATTCAAAACAGCACCAGAAGAAGCAGTCTGAGCAGAAAAGGATGTGGCAAAAGGTCTTCCCATAGTATCTGAAAGATTTGAATTTGATCCATTCAATGCTGACTGCATCCACATAATATAGAAAAATTCAAAAATGGAATACATGAACGCTTTAGAAATTCAATCAATTTTATCCATCTGATCAACTGTAAATACATATACCGAAAGATAAGAATCAAATTCAAGATTTCTATGTTAAAATTATCTTAACATTTGATAATAACAAGGCACGAAACCAGGCATTTAAATAATAAATGAACTACACATTGAACAAATAAGAAAGAACTTACACCGAGTACCCCTGACATTTTGCAGGATTTTTCAAAACAATAGGAAAAAAGTAATTCTTCGTCTAGAACAAGCTTTTATTCATCTTGATTACAACTCTTGGGATGCCCTGGAAAAGGGGAGAGGGAGGGGGAGAGAGAGAGAGAGTATTATACAGTAAACAATACAACAAGATTATTATTTTGACAGACCAGCCATTGCAATTTTCAGGAAGTAACAGGTTATGAAGTTCAATATGACACTAGGGCGAGGGTCAAATTGTTAGTTATAATAATAAATGGCAAGAACTTGGGCTAAAGCATGATAAACCTAGGTTTTACCCTGACATTTGAGCTCTTAATTCTAGTTGAACTAAACAGCAAAATGGATATCATGATCTGTGATTGCACTTTTGCAGTCACTCAAAATAAGTTTGACTGGATAATACCTAGAATTCAGGAAGCCTTATCTTTGTGGTCATACTAGATAGGAATAGCCGCAACCAGATAAAGGAAGAGGTTGCTTACAGCTATTGTAGAATTATTTTGAACTTTTTACACGAACAGTGAAAATCTTTCTTATACCTCAAATTGTTAAAGCACATCTCTTTTCTTCCCTATCTAAAGCACTCAATTTTCAGGTCAAAATTATTCTTTTGTGTTCGTATAAAAAGTTCAAAATAATTCTATAATTGCTGTAAGCAACCTCCTCCTTTATCTGGTTGCAGCTATCCCTATCTAGTATGACCACAAAGATAAGGCTTCCTGAATTCTAAATATTATTTTAGTTTGCAGGTATTTCAGATAACCTGTCAAACTTATTTTGAGTGACTACAAAAATGCAATCACAGATGATGATAGCCATTTTGCTGTTTAGTTCAACTAGAATTAAGAGCACAAATTGAATGTGTCACCATCACACACGTTTTCTGCTTATATTTCAGTGTCACGAGCATTCCTTACTAGTATTTCTATATGTAATTTGCTACCAATTGTTTACTATCAGAACATGAACTGCAGTAATTTCATATTTCTATCCATGTGATGGAAGAAACACTAAAAGTGTGAGGAGTAGTAGATAACAATCAACAGATACTTAGATTTGCAGGTTAAAACCACTCTATTGCATCGTGTCTGCATTCAATTTTTTCCAAACCTTAGAAAATATGTAGTACCATCAGTAATAACAGAACTTACACAACATGAGCCTGAGAATATTCAAACTTGGCATTCTTGACCCATCCCCCTCCCATCCTATGCAAAATTAGAGAAGCATGCAATATGTGAGTTTATAGTCAGATCTTGGTCCTTTATCATGCGTTAACTTAATAAAATCAGAACCGCCACAAAGTCTTAGAAGAAAAATATAGCATTTTGGCTTTGATTTTACCGGGCCAGCATTTGATGGGGAGGCAAAGTCAAGCAACACCGGGGTTTTACTTCCAAAATCTAACGTAAGTAAACTAACACTGAAGTTCTCATTTTTTTTTTCATATTAAGGCAAATCGATTGCAATGTAAGACCAAAGGGTTCTATTTCACGACTTGTCGCCACTTCACAAATCATTTATGGGAATCAAATCCAAGTGAAATGGAGTATTTATTCCCCCTATATCAATTCCTCGATTTTATTATATCAGTTAAAAGAAAAAGAAAGATATTGTAAATTCAAACTCATTAGACGCCAATTCTCACGAATGTCCTTGCCATATTCAAAACTCAGAAATCTATAAACAAAAACCTTATATATATTCAATGCTTCGCTCAATCAAACAAATATTGAACAACGCATATTCACATCAAACTCATAAACCCCTAAACCACACCAAAAATAATAATAATAATAATCTTGTGCACATCAATTTCAATTCGTATCAACTATTAACTCTAGAAATACCAAACATAAACCTTTCAAAAAGAAAGAAAGAAAGAAAGAAAAAGAAATACCAAACATACAATTGCATTTACCTTCAAATAAACCGATAAATAGTATATATTAAAAATCTGCGAGTATTTTCGAGAGAGAGAGGAGGCGCCGAGTCCGGAGTGGCGTTGCGATAGTAACCTCTGAAACTGATATGATGGAAATTAGACTCAACAGACTGTGCTAGGCTACCGATCCTCTACAGTGCGTTAATTTACACAATTTTTACGATGCTCATTTGAGCTGCCGAACTTTCAGCTAATGTGGGATTGGCTCCGCTACTTTTAGAATGGATATTTTTTTGTCACATAATTTGAAAATGCACAAAAATTTGTCACTTTTACATACAAGCTCGGCCCTATTGCTCAGTGGCTAATTTATGCTCGGCTCGTTGCTTGAGGGTGGACCTCGCAACATTATTTTATTAATTTTGTAATAGATTAAATCCTCATATTTTATTCGGATTTCGGATCGGCTACTTAAATTACGAGTAGACGGAGTGTACAATTTTTTTAAAAACAAAATTATAAAATAAAAATTTTAATTAATATGATTAAATCAAATATCACTTACCCGATGACATGCTATTTCCGCATATTTATCTTACAGTCGAAAATAAGCGTCTTGTCAGTCATTCATGCACATTAATGCTTACAAAATATCTGCTTTCAATCGGCTCCTGACTCCGGATAAAACATTCTTATCTGACTACGAAACTACAATGCTAAATAGAGGTGTTAGTAGTAGGTCTTTTGCAATCACAAAAAATCACTGTCATCATCGTTCGTACTTTTAACCAGAATGCAATTACTTATTCTAAACTTTTTTCAAATGTTTTGTTATTAGACATATTATGATTGAAGTAATCAATTAATTTAACAGGCAATGCATTTGGATTTGCGTCTGATGTCTGATTACATGCGATAGACATACTACTACTAGAGGAACCTATTGCATTTGAATTATATCGATACGTAATAGTGCTTTCAAATAAATTTAGCCCATGTTTGGTGCCCATTACCTGAAAATGAAAATGGGGGAAATATTATTTTTTAGAAAAATAAGTGGTTGAAAAAGAAGGAAAAATTTTCGATTTACGTGTAATATTATTTTATGAAAGATTGTGTGGTTGAAAATAGGAGAGAGAAAAATGGAATGTAATTTAATTTAATTTAATGAGGATCAAACAGGGGCTAATATTTCAACGTCGCCTTCTTCAATATCAACAGAAGGAATATGTGCACAGGGTACTCAACTAATATTTGCACACATTTATTCTACATATAATTCATGCATTTCAAATTATGTTTGTTTTAAATTTCTAAATGATACGAATATTAAAAGTTAAAACTTTTGAAATCTAATCAATTACATATTTAGTACCTGATAAATTGTATCTAGGTCCATGATGCACGCAAAAGAAAATAATATAGGCAAGTCTTCCCAATATTTTTTAAACTTTAATTCCATAGAACATATAACTCACTAAAATCAGGGTTATTTTTATATTTATGAAAAATCATTGTAATCATATAAAAACGTTCAAGCATAATACAACTAATGGGATAGTACATTCCAAATAAAATATGTGTAGAGTAATAAAAACTTGTCAAAAAAATTTTAAAGTTAAAAGCCAATCTATTCATTCAAAATAGTATTATCATGGTTTCTAATATGCCTATTGTTATAAAATTCAGTTATTAAATGTTCAAATCATTCGCATGATGTTAATAATAAGTAAGTGGAGTTCCATCTATGCCCTATATTGCTAACAAATATTTTTGTATTCATCACCCCAAATTCGATACAAAATTTTTCAAAAAGCTTGTTTTCTACTAGGTGAAATTTTAATATATATTAGTGCGTCCCTAATTCTTTCAATTTCATTCTTAATATATTTCAAACAATTCGACACAATTAAATTAAAAATATGATATGCACAATGAATATTGAATAAATAACTACCGAATCAGGCTGTAGAACCCTACAAAATTTATGGACAACTGACTTATTAATATTAGTATTGTCAAACGTAAAAGAATGTATTTTATTCTCACAATGAGATTCTCTGATAATGTTTATAATAGCGTTATAAATATTATTAACGTTGTGAAAGAACTTAATAATTTTAACAACAATAATTTTTATGGATACGTCAAAATAGGTCTATGTAGTGCACAGTTGCAACCATTTATAATCTTTTATTAATCACTTCCTATATATTCGAAGTTAAAGATATAACACCTCCATATTTTTGTAAATTGGTAATTAATTATTTTTTGTACGAAAGAAATATGTTGTTGTATCGTATCGACGAGTGTCTCTACTTACCGCGACGTATCTCGATTGAAGATATTCTTTTACGTAGGAGGCGAAATGTTGGTTGTCAGTATTGCTAGAGACAACTCAGCATCAACAACAAATTTCACCATTCCCACTAGAGTTTTATCCCCTAAATACATTCACGTGCAAAGTGTCCTAGAAGTCTAACTGACGGTTGAAACGCCAAATTGCAGTTACGTTTGACACATATGCTAATCTTGATTTTTAATTTCGTAAATTAATATACATTCATTAAGTTTGGATTTGCATTTTTTTTTTAATGAAGGTACCCTATGAAATGTTATGGATCACTCCTTATCCAATACAGCACGTTTAATGATTTCTCTTGTAATTTGGTAGTTGAGTTTTGATTAACACAATTAACGGTGTGAAGAATGTATTTTTACAACAATCTGTAAAACATGATAGTTGAATTGTCAACTGCATTCTATCGAATTTGACATATGAAATGTCGAGCTTGACATTTTCGTATTCATCAGTTTGATATTGTTTGTTATAATTTAACGTCGGTGGCAATTGCATGCTGATAAACTCGATATTATCATTGCGTCAAATACTTATCATTGCTATCTCATATTTCAAGTATAAGTAATAATCTAAGATTTATTACGAGGGAGTTTCGTGTATGTAGATAACAAGTGAAAGTGGTGCGGGAACAAAACCTCTTCACTCTTACCTCGAAGTAATTTTACAGTAGCAGGACTTGCCTTACATTTGATGTAGAAGTTTCCTATTTATGATCCATGCATTGAAATCGAATTGAAGTTCAAAATCCCGAATATCAAACACTAAGATGAAGACTTGAATTTATTCATTTCAATTCATGAGAACTCTGCCCTTTGTGTAAGTTTTCACAAAACTGAGCTTTCAATTGATTCGTAAATAATGAGGGATATACGTGTAGAAAATCCTCCATTCATCCCCAAGAAAGGTTTTCAAACAGTGTACCAACATCAAACACGTAAATTTCAATGTTGTTTAATATTTTCAGTTATATTTTTGTACAAGATAATGATGGCTGTCATTTTTCATGTTCTATTATCTATTTAATGTTATTATCATTGTATTTTAAATTTGCGTAATGTTGAAAATTTCGAAACCATAGTTGTATATTAACTAGCACGTTACAAATTATCAGGCTCGATGCATAAACTCTGGATTTTTTTTACAGTTTGTTTTAGGTAAGTAGTCACGTAGGCAAAATTATGACTATGGAATAATGGTTTATCACAGCGTAGAGAGATGTACACTATAAATTAATCTGATTTTTTCATAACAAACAAAAGATACATAATGCAGACATGTTGAAGCTAGTGATGGTAACGAGGCGGGGCAGTGGGCTTGCCCCGTTTAATTTACATATATATAATTTCGAGTTCAATAAAATACAGATAACATTCAACCTAACAAAGTTAATATCCAAAATAAACACTACAAATCTTAAATATAATGGTCGCTATTGATACAAAATATTGATTATTAGGATAAACAGGGTTTTTTGTGTTTTTTCCTTTGATATTGTCACAAAAATTGTAACCTTACACACTTTAATTTATTACAATATATAGATTTTCAAATTTGTTCAGTTGAACATGTTATATCTTTTTATATTTATTTTTATGACTATTTGAAACAATTTGAACCCTAACCTTTATTTATAACAAAATAATAATAAATAAAAAATAAATTTCACGGGGCGCCCGCCCACACCTCCCGACGGGGCAACCATTTACACCCCTCCCCGCCCCACGCCCCGTCACGGGGCAGGTTTTTTTGCCCCATTCGGGGCGAGATGGGGTAAATTGTCACCACTAGTTGAAGCCAATATCACCCACTTCATGAGTTATCAACCTATGACTCTATGCTGCCACTTCCTTCATCTTCCTTGTCCGAACTTATGACAATGACCTCGAGAGGTAGAATGTTTGGAATCAAAGAGTTATTGTCGGCTTCGCCTTTCATACAGTACCATGTAGTAGAAAATATCATCGACTACTTTATTTGTGGAATTAGATGCTTCGATTGAAATTTCATCTAAGTTTGAAAACATAATTGGTGAAACATTTCTCCAACCACTTTGCACGAAAACATGCTCATCATTAAACTCAATGATGATCGGGAAGAACGATGACAAACCGGGGATGAAAGGAGGTGCATTGAAGTCTAATGGATTGTTGCTTTGATTTGGTGAATCCACGTAGTCAAAAATAAATCTTGATTTTGAACAATTATTGTATCTAACCTCCGTAATGTGACATACAAAGGTACTAGAGCTTTTTTACTCTAAACTAGAACAATGAACTTTATAATAGAACTATCAACTTATTGCTATTTATAAGCAATTTTTTTAGGGAATATACCTTAAACTCGACCATGATTATAATACACAACTAGTAATAGTTAAAAAAATCAAGCTATACAACGGGCTAAACAACTATATTTTTGCAAACTACAAAATAAACTATTCATATACGAAAATAAGCTTTATATATCCTACATATATAAAAGAGTGGAGCATTGGTGGGACACGTGTCAGTCATATGTTTCTACCTTCTCCATCATTTTCGGCTAGCCCATTCCTCTGCTATTGATTGTGTAAGAAGGCATGGTTTCTCTCCCTGGTTCATCCCCTAATTCATCGAGTTCTTTTCTTATTCTCTACCTTGACAATTGCAATTTGTGAAGTTTTTAATTTTCATACAGTTGGAGATTTATCGAAATTTTAGCGACATCATTTGCCTGCTTCAACTTCAGCTTCAAGGTAATGTGATTGATTAATTTTACGAAATGGGTGTAATGTCGAACTCATACAATCCATTCCTCTCCTCAATTGTTAAGATTTGTCTTTAATGGTGATTTGAAGTAGTTTGGTTTGTAGCTCCAATTGATTGTTGTCAAAGTATTTGATCAATTGTCTGAGTGTACCTTCAAACTGATTTTGATAATATGCACT